TTTCATTGGGCGCTCTTTTTATAAAAGAGTAGAACAAAAGAGAATGAAAAGTTTCGCGTAATTAAACTTTGAATGAATAAGAGTTGTATAGAATATATTTTTTTTTTCCGTCACTCGTTCTTTTTTTAGATAAGAGAAATAAAAGTTTAATAGTAAATTTTCTTTGAATAAATGAGAATTGGAAGAGAAAATTGCTTGAAAATTTGTATTTTTTAATTGTGTTTTTAAAATTTTTTAATTTTTCATGTTAAGAGACAAATGCCAATTACGACACAAATTTGGAAATAACAATTATAATGTTTTTTTATGCGCGTTATGACATTTTAACAATTTAAATTACCATCTATCTTGAATTATTGCCTTTAATTAATGTGTTAATTATTGCATTATTTAATAATAATTTGTCCGTATTTTTGTTAAATATTAGTTGTATAAAACGGGCGAAAATATACAAACTTCATGTTTTTTATTTGATGGTTATAAAATATTAAACAGTAAAATTATAATCAAAATTTATAACGCCGACTTGTGTTGCAATTAATTGTACTTTTAATGCAAAATCGGGATCTCACATGTCCTTTCACGAATTTTCATATCTGATACTACTGTCAACTGTATTGTTTAGTGTATTCTTGTACTTTTTTTTCATAATCTTAACAGTTTCTAATTGGTATGGAGTTGCTGACATTTTAAAAATTTCATTATCAAAAATCAAATGTAAAATAAAATGGTATTTCCTTTTTATCCGTATCCAATTCAGCAAATTTAACAATTTAAATTAAATCAGTGTGATCAAAAAAATTTTATAATAAAAAAAGTTAACAATTCATTAAATATCTCTAATTAATACTGTCAGTTTATGAAAGTAATTGTTAATTAATACTTTTTTTCAACGAAAAAATAAAAAATTGTCATAGTGTAAAAATAACCGGAGAAGTTAGAAAGTAGTTCTCATTGTTTAAATAAAAATAATTAAGAATCAGAATATATAATACTGCGCTCTCTTGCGCTAAAACAAGAGACCATATATAAAACGTTCTATATAATGTAAAATACTCGTATGAAAAGCATGAGATTGGTAAGTAAAGCTTTAATATTTGTTTTAATTTAAATAATTAAAGAAATATAAGTAAGATATATAAATCTAAAAATTATTAAGATATCTGTAAAAAATAAGTTGCTCCTATAAAATAAAAATAATTTATTGTTTTTACTTTTTACGATGTTTGGAAAAATAATACAAATAAATTTGTTTTGCTGTATGTTAAAAAAATACTACAGTAGAAAAACGCAGCTTAGTATGATTACACTTTTCTTTTGTTAAGTCTACCGTGACGTCAAATACTAAAACTTTTATGAATTAAACACGCTTCAAAGGAATTGCCAAAGTCTGTAGATTGCGATGCATAATTTGAAGACTCCGAGTAGTTGAAAAAAATGGAGAAGACAAGCTTCTTCAAAAAAAACAACATTTGTTTTTCACGGTATGCATTCATTATTTATTTTTAATCCAAAAAATTTGGTTCAAACCTTTTTTTTTAACATTATCTTTAATATGAACACAACATGTGTTGGGAGTTTGGGATCCCTTTAATGTGTTGTGAATAACTGAATGAGACGGGAATTTAAATATAAGCATGGAAAGAAGCTGCAAGTTGTCTTAACAATATAGTTTAGCTGAGTTAATAGATTTATTAATAGACTTGAAATAAACAAAGAATAATTTTTGAATGCTTTTTATAAATTCATTTTTAGGTCAGCTTTATCTGGTGAATGCATAACAGCTTACAATTATAAATTATTAGAGGAACTATAAAAATAAATGAAAGGAAAAACCAAGTAAAATAAAGCAAAATATAAAATAATGTCAAGCTCATTGGTAAGTTACTATATGTATGTTTGTGTTCTGTTTAAACTTCTGGCGCTGTTGGCTCACCCAAAAATTACTGAATGTTTTTTTGTGTTCGTTTTAAACCACTTGCACAATGTTGACTCACTCGTAAGTTACTCTTTGTTTGTTTGTGTTCTGTTTAAACCTCTAACGCAATGTTGACTCACCCTTAAGTTACTGTATTTTGTTTGTGTTCTGTTTAAACCTTTGGCACAATATTGACTCACTAATAAGTTACTATATGTTTGTTTATATTCTATTTAAACCTCAAGTGCAACATAGACTCACCCATAAGTTACTGCATGTATTTTTGTGTTCTGTTTAAACCTCTAGCGCAATGTTGACTCACCTGTAAGTTATTCTATGTATGTTTGTGTTTAGTTTAAACCTCAGATGCAATATTGACTCACTTATATGGCAGATTATAAGCATACTAATTGTATGTTTATAATCTGTTTAAACCTCAAGCACAATACTCACATTTAAATTACGGTATGTACATTCACTCACATTTAAATTACGGTATGTACATTCACATTTAAAATACGGTATGTACATTCACTCACATTTAAATTACGGTATGTATGTTCGTGTTCTGTTTAAACCTCTGGCACAATATTGACTAACACGTAAATTACTATATTTATGTTTGTGTTTAGTTTAAACCTCAAGCGCAATTTCGACTCACATGTAAGTTACTGTATGTATGTATGTTTGTGTTCTGTTTAAACCTCTGGCGCGGTGTTGAATCACCCGTAAGTTGCTATATGTTTGTTTGTGTTCTGTTTAAACCTCTGGCGCGGTGTTGACTCACCCGTAAGTTGCTATATGTTTGTTTGTGTTCTGTTTAAACCTCTGGCGCGGTGTTGACTCACCCGTAAGTTGCTATATGTTTGTTTGTGTTCTGTTTAAACCTCTGGCGCGGTGTTGACTCACCCGTAAGTTGCTATATGTTTGTTTGTGTTCTGTTTAAACCTCTGGCGCGGTGTTGACTCACCCGTAAGTTGCTATATGTTTGTTTGTGTTCTGTTTAAACCTCTGGCGCGGTGTTGACTCACCCGTAAGTTGCTATATGTTTGTTTGTGTTCTGTTTAAACCTCTGGCGCGGTGTTGACTCACCCGTAAGTTACTGTATGTATGTTTGTGTTCTGTGGAAACCTCTGACGTGATAATGGCTCAGACATTAGTTACTATATGTTTGTTTGTTTGTTGGTTTAAACCTCCTGCACAATGCTGACTTACACATATGTTATTGTATAATTGTTTGTGTTCTGTTAAAACCTCTGGCGCAACATTCACTCACTAGTAAGTTACTGTATGTTTGTTATGTTCAATTTAAAACTCAAGCGCAGTATTGTCTCACCAGTAAGTTACTGTATGTATGTTTGTTCTGTTTAAGCATGGTGTTGACTTACCTGTAAGTTACTGTATAATGTTTTGTGTTCTGTTTACCTCTGGCGCAATATTAACTCACTCATAAGTTACTTTATGAATGTTTGTGTTGTGTTTAAACCTATGCCGTGGTGTTGTTTTTTTTTATTTTTTTTTATTTTATTTCACCTCCTGAGAAGGCTGAGAAGGCCACTACAGACGAGGAGGCTACTTATTTTGTGGCTATAATCCTCTCTCAACTCTATAACTCCAAAAAACAAACCTTGACGAACAAGGCCTCTGCGTGGAGAAACGAGTTGAGCGCGGTACTACCAGGGATGTGGTGGGGATCAAACTCGGAACCACTCGTTTATGAAGCGAGCGCTCTACCACTACACCATTATCGCATGATTTAGCTTTTAGTTACTGTATGTTTGTTTGTGTTCTGTTTAAACCTCTGGTGGTCTGTTACTTTAGCGGCTCTCCAGTTAGTCCACTAAAATACATCCACTGAAAATACACTTTTTAGATAAAGTGCTCTATATGGAGCTATCTTTTTCTGATGAAGTAATACTTATAGAAGTAACTTGCACATTTTCATTTTCGTATATTACTCTAACCTGTTTTAAAGATGTTGCAAATTTACAATTTTGCGCCCATTATTACACACCCGTGTGGCTTAGTTGTCTATAATGTTATTCCTTTTCAACTGAATACTTTTTAGATTTTTATTGTGTCTTATGTTTGTGTTATAACTGTAAACAGTGAAAGAACAATTACAGTAAAAGAATGCGACTTTGCAAAATGATGATTTTGCAATGATAAATACAATCATGCTTGCTGCTTATCAAAATGATAAGCAGCAAGCATGAATGTATTTGTCGAAAAGAGTAATAGACTTATTGTCTATGGGGCTATTAAGGCTAAACATTAGGAGCTTGATTTGGTCCAACTACATTCGTAATGCGTTTTTTAAATTTGTCTGAATGATAAAGGGTATCATTAGAAGAATCAGTCTAATAATGACAACAATTTTCCATACAATAAGAAATAGGTTGTGCATACATTTTTTAAATATAAGCGAAGAATTAGATTTATAGTTTCCATTAGTGGAAACTATAAATCTAATTCTTCAACCTATTTCTTATTGATAATCAACCTATTTCTTGTTGATAGTAAAAGGTAATCAAAAAGAACATAAACGAGAAAACTCTGTAAGAGTGTGTCCATTTATCAAAATAGGCATATCAACATAGCAGCAAACATCTGAGTTAAAAAGCTTGGGTTAAAATTTTCTAATCAAAATGAGCCCTAAACTGTCATAGAAGAGAAATCACATTCGATATAGACTGTTTGTAAACCTTGCATTAGAATTTTTCTAGAAGTTTGACATCTTAAGTTAATTATCATATCCAATATTTTCTTTTTCAACTTTTAATATATTTAAAAGTTTATGCTTTTTTTTTTAGAATTTTTTTAAAGTCCATTTTTATTTCACTCCCTGTTCTTTTATTTTCATTTTATTAATAGAAATGAGAATGTGCAAGAATAAGCAGTTTGCTAATTGATTGTGTATTTTTCTGTCATATGCTTTCAATCGTTCTGCATTAAAAAAATCGTACATGTGAATAGGAAGGAACCTTGACGTGGTTCATGTGCTTTAAAACAAATACCTTCCAGACAGAAACTTTTTGATACCTTGTGTGTGAGTAGTATTTTTATATTGGTAGTTTATTATCTTCTGATTGAAATTCTTGCTTTCAAGGTGTGTTTTTTCTTGTTTATTTAGAATACGTTGTTTACATAGAATGCGTTGAGGATTTTGAGAGATAAAGGTATAATTTTTATCAATTCTAAATACAAGCAGATGATTTAGAGTATTATTTAATAAAACGTAATGTACGGAATTTGACTGAAGTTAGTTTGAATATAGATAACTTGTACAATTTTTTTTTTATTACTTAACTTTTTAATTTTCTACTTGGTCGTTCAACTTTAAGTATTATATCTAAAACAAATGGCTGTGTGAGATCATATCGTAATCTAATCATAAATTTATTTTAGGGAATAAGCAGTATGAAAAATAAATGCTTAAGAAGATGTATAACAACGATAATGAACTTCAAATATTTTTTTTAATGTTATTGTTAATTGCAGTTAATTTATATTAACATATTATTTATGTAACAGTGTGTAAGATATATATGAAATTGTGTATTTAATTTTAAATTTTTTTTATATTAGTTTCATTAATTCATGCTTTTTTTAAGTTTTTTTTAATTTTATTATTATGAAATTAACCTCTTTTAATTAAACTGCGACAGCTTAAATTAGGGATGGCAATCCCGGGATTTCGTAAAAAATGTTTATCCCGAAATCCCGGGATTAGTCTCCGAAATTTCCCTGAATTTCGGGATCGTCAAAAAAAAGGAAAGGTTAATAAAGTTTATGCTTATAATTGTAGTTTAGTAATTTTTATATCGTCTTTGGTATAGTAGCTGTTTGGTTGTGTAATCATTTATTATCTTTGCAATGTTTTCCTTTTAAAACTCTCATTTTCTGCATTTTACTAAGAAAAAAAAAATCAAAACATTGCTTGTCTGCAAAATGTATATATGTTTGTTTATATATATATATATATATATATATATATATATATATAATATATATATATATATATATATATATATATATATATATATACATATATAAATATATATACATATACATATAAAATTAAAATTAAAAATATATAATAAAATAAAATTAAAGTATAACTTTTATTAAAAACTCTTGCTCTTTCCACAAGCAAGCGCTTATATTTTTGTTATGTTTTATAATATACTAGTTTTAATATTATGCTATATATAATATATAGTATTATATTAAAACTAGTATATTATAAAAATAGATAAAGTTTAGGCGCTTGCTGGTAAAAAGTGCAAGAATTGTTAATAGAAGGTATACATTAATTTAATTTTGAATTTTCTGCTTCCAAAAGTATGCGCAATTTTAATTCCAGTTTTATATCCATTCATTTTAATTTTCAAATTAGTGAATTATGAAAGTTTTTTTTAACGTCATACATATTTATAGTTTTTAATTTTTATTTTTATTTATACTGTGTTACCATTTTAAAGTATTGTTTTATATAATACTTATAAATTATCATTAAATTAATAATTTTTAAGTGTTTGATAAGTGCTTAACAAGTATTCGATTGCATTTGCGTTTTTACCTATTCAATCCCGGGATTTCCCATGGACAAATTTCTCAATCCCGAAATTCCGGGATTGAAAATTTCCGGGATTTTTGCCATCCCTAGCTGAAATACAGAAATATTGTCTTCATTTGTCTGTCAGATATTGTCTTCATTTGTCATATTGTCTTCATTTGTCTGTCAGACAGAAATATTGTCTTTATTTATAAATGTATTTTTTAGTAATATTAATGTAATAGGAACTTAAAAAGTGGAACTTTTAATTTATAATGAACATGTATTTACTTTTTAACAGTTGGTTTATATAAAATAGGGAGAGATTTAGCAACGAGACGCGGACAATATTTGACAACGGCGTTTGTTACGAACACGTCGTTTGACTAAAGCCATTTAGCCTTTGTTTCGCAACACGTGCCTAAAAACCGTTATCAACAATGACGGCTATATTCTGCTTGAAATCTGTAGGAAGTTTAGTTTTTTTAGGCTACGCTGAAGATTCAATAGATATTTATAAATGAGTTAAACGATTCCCATGAACCATATCCATATTGGAAATATGATAGGTTTGATATAAATACTAGGTACAATGATGTACAATGTAAAATTATTGTTTTTGGCATCTCAGAAAAAATTGTAAATGCACAAAGAACTACATGCAGTGGTATAGAAAAACCTTGCACTATGCTAAAATGACTTGCTTTTCAATGTAAATAACGGGAGAGGAGAAATTAGTTAAACAAAAATCAAAGCTTTGTATTTAAAAAAAAACTAAAGCAAAAATTTTTTAATTTTTTTTTTTAAATTAATACAATATTTATTTTAACAAAATTATCTTTTATAAACCGATCCCTTGTTGGCTATTATTCTCAATTTTGTCTTGATACCCTTCATAAGTGATTGTAAAAATGTTGTACGAATTTTCAATTCAAACACGCATTGATACATCTAATCAATTGTTGTAAACATATGGCCTCCCATCCACCCTCATTTACATTCTGAGTCAATACTCAGAAGTCTCAGTTGACCAGCCTTTGGGGACATTAGGAGGATTCTTATCAACCGGTACAAAATTGATATTTTCATCTATCCAGGATATGGCATCATTAGACCTATTAACACTAGCTAAATCTGGCCAAAAAATGTAACTTAAGTACCTTGATGATACTCATCGATGTTCTAATGGTAAGGCTTTCTTCTAAGCATTCTTTGATATAAATGCTTTATTTTTTTGCAGCCGATGTTGTTAACCGAAAGAATGCTTTCGACATTCCACGCTCAGATAGTGCTATCCAAACAAGTAATTTTTTTTCAAAAAATTTCCTTAAATTTTTATTTGCTTAAAGCTGAACATAATTTGGAAGCTGGTATAATGACGAAATAAAACTAGGTAACCCTCCCTGACATATGGGTCAATTAAGATTAAATACTAAAAAGGGATATTTTACAGCACTCATTTAAAAGTTTATTTTTTAAATCGACACACTAAATTAGAAAAGTACTTATTAAACATTCTCTTGTGTCAACAGCAAGTAAAAAATTGCAACTACCTTTCAGACAAAATAAATGAGACCGCGTATGCAAAACTTTTGTTCGTATTTTTACAATTTTTGGCGAGTCATGCAATGACTTTTTTGTATTTCATGAAACTTATTGTTTGATTTATCAGGTGCATATATATTCATCTAAAAATCTATGTGTTAATTATTATTTCTGATTTACCTAAAAATAATAATTTTAAAAATGAAGATGGTAGCGTTGACACTTGACTATCTTTTTAAAGTGGTTCATAAAGACATTAAGTCTTTGACAAAATTAACTTGGATATCTAAGGCAACAGTTGCAAGATGTTTAAAGAAAATGAGGAGAGGAATGACCTTGGAGAGAAAGAACTTTATTTAATGGACCAACAACAATTGATTCAATTAGCTCAAAACGATTATACACGATCCGCCCGAGATATTCAAACTGAATTAATCATAAAAGGTAGTCCGAAGGTTGCTTCGAGAACCATTACTTGTTATCTTAGCCGAAGTGGGTACTTCAGTTTTTTTTCCCTAAAATCAACCCCTAATGACTCCTGTTCAATAAGAAAATAGGGTAAAATAATGTAAAAAACACTTAAGAAAAAGAATCAATGGGTCTTTTGTGATGAGAGTCGTTTTGAGTTATTTTGAGCTTGTGAAGGTTAATGGCAAAGAAACATCCGAGAAATGGCAAACCAAAGTTCAAACAGAGTCTCATGGCTTAGGGGACGATTCGTTCCAAAGGTAATTTTTATTCCAAAGGTACATTGCTTATTATCAAGGGCACTGTGAATAATGAAAAGTACAAAGAAATACTTTCTGAAGCTAAGCCAATTCTAAGCCGTCGTGTTCAAAAATAGAAGTTTAAGATAAAGATTAAGCTTTACTCTTTATTTTCTATTGAACAATTTTATTATTCATTTGTTATTTTGAAAATAAACCTTAAAAAACTCATTTATTTTGTCCGGGAGGTATAAGGTAATCATACATCGTCTTAATAATGAACTATTACGAAAGTGAGGAAAACTATTCGGAAGCAAAAAAAAACAGTAACTAAGAAGAATTTTTTAAAATCTTATATTAATCAAGAAAACACAACAATAAAAGGGAACTCTTTATTGTTTACTTTTAAAGAAAAAAAATATTCAAAGTTTTGCATTAAAGAACAATCAGTGCTGAAACGTCGAGAGCATATTTGAGCACCATATTAGTGTCTCAATATAATATAAAGAAACACTGCAACAATGAAATATGTTTTTTTTGTTCAGATTTACAAACCAGCATAACATGAAAATGGAAGAGAGTTCTAATAAAGCGAATAAGAGATTTTTAAAGGTAAAGAATGGAATCAGAAATAATAAAATGGCAAGCACGATAAAGAGAAGAACCTTAAAAGATGTTAACTTAGATGTTAACGGTTTCTATGAGAGGTCAGTAGTGAACGATGATTCAAGCAGATGCGAAGAAGAGAACTCAGTGAGAGGGTAACCATTCGTCAATATAGAAAGACACTGCAAGCCCCAACCTAATACAGAAGTGAGATCAGATTCAATATTGGCTGCCTGTTCTAACCAATCGAAGATCTCTGAGTTACCCAAAAGTTACTAGAAATGAAGAATGTTGAGGATGACTTTAATAAAGCGGTATGAAATGTTCCGAGATTTTTATATGTGTTTGCGGTTAAAAGATAAAACCTTGTGGTAGGAAAAAGAAGAGTGCTGTCTATCTAGGATAACTTTAATGCTAAAAATGGAGAGGAAAGATTTTCATAACTTTTGTTAATACGCAATGCAAAGGTTTTATGAATACTTGGAGCCAGAACTTTTGTACCTTTTTTTTTAAAGATTTAGAAAAAGCAGTTAGTTATTAAAGTTACCAAAACTTACTAGAAAATCAGCAGTAATAAACTAAGCAATAAAAAATCTGCAGTATCAAAAATCAGCAGTAAAACCTTAAGACCGGAAACAATATTGACCGTTAGAAAGTAAGTTATTGAATTGCGTTATAAATGCAATAGATAATAACTTTTTTTTTCTAGTAACTCACAACTTAGACCTGTTTAATTGCAGCTTATTAGGAGCGAATTAGAGAGTGAAAAAATATATAGCAGCTTAGCAAAAAGTAATGACATGAACAAAAATACCATCATAAATAAATAATACTATAAAATAATGAAAATAATTATACAATTTACAAACATTAGAAAAAAGAATAAATAAACAACCACAAATAAATAATTTATAAAAAATTTATGTATTTTTATCAAAATAAAAAATAAGAATTTTTGATCAAAACTTACTATCAAATAATGCTGCATTTCTTCGCTATGGAGACATAAAAACATTTTTTGAATTCAACTTAACTCTTAGTTTATGATTCAATAGTTAAACATCGGATTTCGAGGTTCAACTATCAAAATCATTTCTAACATTTGAGAAAGTCATACTGTTGTGAAAGTTGGTGAGTTAAGATAGCTAAGATCCTTAAAATAGAGA